CATGCCTGCGCACATGCCTTGCATTGTTCCCTGGGGCTATTCGCACTCGATAAAGGAAGCAGCCCCATCAGCAGAACGCAGCCTTGCCATGGCCGGGACTGGCCACGGGCGGCATGCTGCACCCTCTGTGTAAGAGTGCTGCAGCCTCTGGCATGGGCATGGCCTGGCCCTGACTCACCCCATCCCCCGGTCTGAATCAGGGGCCATCGACTGCGATGGGGAGCAGCGTCTGCCCGAGAAAGCGGGGGTGGTGGCATATGTGTCACTTGCTGTGGGTGCTGCATCGTCACAGCTGCCCCGGGGCGGAGCGTGGGCAGGTCCGTGCTAATAGCCCTGTCTGGGGGGCCGGCAGCTCCCTGCAGCACTGCGGGAGGCACCATTCATGCGTTGTTGCGTGCTCCCGGTATCCGGTCTGAGGAGGGCAGCATGGCAAGAGTGAGACGGGCATGATGTGCAGGTCCTGGTAGGTGCCAGCCAAGAGCACAGGTGGTCGCAGGTCAGGGCTCTGGTCTGGACAGGCCGGTGGGCCCAACCAGAGTGGGACCTAGGGTGTGGACGGCATTTCAGCCCCACTCCCAGCACTCAAGGATGGGCTTTGCTCACCTCTGCTGAGCCCCAGTGCAGGGGCAGGGGTCTGCTGGGGAGGCCGGCAGCTGCAGCTGTGGGAAGGGGGTGGTGACCAATGTGCTTGGTGCTGTACACAGTCCCGTCCCAGCCACGTCTTCCCACGTGACCCAGAGACCTCAGCAGCCAGTGCCGGCCGGAGCTGTGGAGGCTGGCGGGGGAGTGGGTCTCTGGGAGCATCCTGCCAGAATGGGCCTCCCGGCTGGGGAAAACCCCTGCTCACGGCTCTTGCTGGGCAGATGTGGCCCCACAACCCCCTGCCCACGCGGTGCCCCCGGGCTCCCATGGCGGTGGGGGCCGTGGGCTGTCCTATGCAGATGCAGGGGCAGAGCCAGGTAGCTGCCGCCTGTCCAGTCGGGCTCGGTGCCCTGTGCCAGGGAAGCTCTGGGCTTCCTCCCCCTCCTTTCATTTCCTTCCTGATGGGAATTCACTTCCAGTTCCTCTTTCCTCCTGCCCACGGTGGCTCGGGTGCAGACATTGATGCCCAAGAAAAGCACGGTGGGTTAGGGCTGCATGGGCCGATGTCTGCTCCCGGTCCGAGTTCAGGTTCTGCTGCAGTGTGGGCTGGTGGGTGAGCTCAGGACAGGCGACCTGGTGGGTCGGGGCCCTGTGGTCATGGGGGTGGGCTGGTTTGCCTGGGCAGGTCTGAGGTTTCTGCATGCCAATGCTGTGCTTGTGGACGTGTCCAACCCAGGGACTGAGCATCTGTCTGTCCCTGCCCCGCAGATTCTGAGCCATGGAGACCGGCTGCGTGGTCCGTGCTGTCTTCGACTTCTGCCCCAGCGTCTCTGAGGAGCTGCCCCTGTTCGTGGGCGATGTGGTTGAGGTGCTGGCCATGGTGGACGAGTTCTGGCTCTTCGGCAAGAAGGAGGGGGTCACAGGTAAGAGCTAGTGGGAGCTGTGAGGAGGGGGGCACTGTCCCTGCCTCCGCCCCTGTGTCCTACGCGCCCAGCTGCTCTGCTGGCCTGGCCGTGGGCCACTCAGTCACTCGGCCGTGGCTCTGGGCGAGGGTGCCAATTCCCTGTTGCCGTGTCCCATCCCCACGGTATGTCCAGTCTCCCAGTGGCAGTGGATGTTGGTGCCCCACGTCTTTCTCAGTAGGGGAGATGCCGGGAGCCAGGGGCTTCATTGCAGTAGGAGCTGTTTAAGTGCACAGGATGAGGGAGAGAGGTCCCGCTCTGAGCTGCCTGGCGTGACTGTGAGAGGGCTGGGGACTGTTTTGCAGAGAGGGGAAGTGCGTGGCCGGGCCATGTAGCAAGTGCCGGAAGATCCTTCTGCGGGGCCCAGGTCTTGTGCATCCTGTCCGGAGCCCGAAGCCAGACAGGCCCCGCTGCCTCCCTCCCTCCCTCCTGCCCAAGTGGCCATCTGTTGCTGTCAGTGTGCCAGCGTCCTGGGCCGGCACAGGGGTTCTCCAGGCAGAAAGGGACGGGGACCAGCCCAGTGCCCTCTGGGGCCCTTCTCACACCTGCTGACCTCACGGGCTTGCTTGAGGCGGGTGAGCTATCAGCAAGACGGGGACCAGCCCCTCTGAGCAGGGGGTGTTTCCTTCCTAGTTACTAACCTCTAGGCCCCTGGGCTCGCTGTCCCCGTGGCACAGCCGTGTTCCCTGCTGGCAGCCTGGCAGGCCTCAGCGCCCAAGACAATGCCCCTGTGGCACCAACCCGCCGGGTCCTGGCTGGAGGGTCTTGCCCCCGCGCTCAGGCTCAGCCCCAGCTGCATTGGGGCAGGAAGGGATTCCCCCCCTGCTCAGACTGGTCTTCATTGCGGGGTTTTGCCTTCCTCTGCAGCAGGGGCATGGCCTTGGCCTGGGCGCTCTGCAGCGCCCACGACCCCTGGCAGCAGCAGGACGTTGGCAGTTGTGGCCCCCCCGTATCCCGGGGGCAGGGGCGGGGGTGGTGCCTGGGGCTGTGTCGGGGTGACTGTCGTGTTTTGTCTGGGCTAGTTTGGGTGGGGCTGACCCTGCCTTGGGCCGGGCCGGGCTGGGCTGGATGTGACCCCTGCAGCCGTGATACCAGCAGTTAGCGCTGGCGTCTGTTCCCGAGGAGCCCCCGTGCCCTCCCTGCACCACGCAGGCCAGCAGAGGGCGCTGGGTGTGCACGTGCACCCGCGCAGCAGTGCAGCCTCTCCACCCTGCGAAGCTGGCATGGGCCCTGCCCAGGAGAGGTGGCTCTGGGAGCCCGAGGGGCTGCAGCTGGACGTGTCCCCTTGCTGGAAGACAGGGAAGTGGATGATGGGGTCTGTCGGGTGACTCTGAGTGACCCTGACTCAAAGCCGCCTGGATCAAAGCCACGCGGCATTCCCCTCTCGCCACGTGCAGCCCTTGTCTGAGTGAAGGGTGCGTGGAGCGGAAAGGAAGAGGCACCGTGCACTGGGCGCTGCTCGGGAACGGATCCGTCCGGCCTCGCAGCTCTCTGCAGGGCACAGCCAGGCTCCTGTTCCTCGGTGGTGGAAGAGGCATAATGGTGAACAGCCTTTGCCAAGGTCACAAAGGACCTTCCTGCTAGATGGACAGACCACTGCCTCAATCACTGCAAGCAAGGGGTGATTGACTATACATGGATCCGTGTTGGAGTGGCTGGAGATTTCGAGCGGGGTCTTGGGCCCGGTGCTGTTCAACATATGGAGGCTGGCATAGAAATCTTCTTGGGCATCTGCAGACAACACAAAGCTGGGAAGCATTGCAAGCCCCTCGGAGGATGGGAGCGTGGTTCCGAAGGATCATAGTAGGCTGCAGAGCTGGGCTGGAGCCGACGGGGGTTTGGTGCAGAGTGCTGCACCCAAGGAAGAATGGCCAAATGCACAGGTACAGAGCGGGAGAGAGTGGCTGGGTGGCAGCACTCTCTGGCGTGTCTGTGGATCGCAGACTCAGCACAAGACTGAGGGGAAGGGTCATAGCATGGCTGTGGATTGCAGGCTCAGCCCGAGACACCAGTGTGGCATAGCAGCAAAAGGGCAGATGCGCTTTTTGGGCTGCATCAGCAGGCCTGTTCAGGAAGATGTGGGAGGTGATAGTGCCGCTGTACTTGGCGCCAGCTAGGCCTTGTCTAGCCTATGCCGTGCAGTTCTGGGACTGCATTTTGAGGAGGACACGGAGAAGTTAGATAGGGCCCAGAGGTGGGTAACAAACACGATCAAGGGCTGGAAAGGCAGCTGAATGAGAAGGGGAGGGAGCTGGCCACATTCAGCTTGCAGGAAGGGTGATGGAGGGGGGTGTGAGAGCCACCTGTACCCGTCGGAAGGGCTCCACACAGAGGAGCTAGGACACCTTTCTCCTTTGTTGCTGACAGGAAGGACCCATGGCTTGAAGTTGCAGCAAAGCGGGTTTAGATTGGAGAGCAGGAAACTCTTCCTTCCTGTCGAAGCCGTGAGGCGGTGGAAGCGGGGGGAGCTCCACTGGAGGCGTTCGGGAGGAGCCTGGACAAGCGTTGGTCAGGGATGATCTAGGGGCAGGATCTAGGAGGTGACCAGTGCCTGGAGCGTGCTGTGAAGCGCAGCAGTTGGAAGCCAGAGACCCCGTCCCGGCGCGCGTCCCTCAGATCCAAGAGCTCTGCAGCCTGGAAAGCGGAAAATTGGAGGGGGAAGCAGAGCCCCACACTCATCCTGGTTATGAAACAGGACTAAAGAGCAGGGACGAGGTCGTGGAGGAAGGGGATAAGACAGGGCAGCTCTGGCCGTGCGGGTAGATGCGGGCTGTGTGGAGTTCCTGGCTGTCCCCACGCTGCAGCGCAGTGGACGGTGTCCGGCTTTCCTGGGCTCTGCTGGTTACCACATGGGGCCAGGAAGGAATTTTTTCCCTTCCTGATTGCTGTCGGGGTTTTTTCCCTTTCCTCAGAGGCGCTGGTGCTGCTGCAGCCCAGGTTGGGGGTGGGGACTGGGATATGCCATGCTCCTGTGGGCACCAACCCTGCAGGGTCCTGGCTAGCAGGTCTGGCACCTCTGCTTAGGGTTAGACTGACTGGCACAGAAACCTGGTCTTCCCCAGACTGGCCTAGAGGAGGTCGGGGGGAGGGTGTCTTTCAGCTGCCTCTGAAGCGGGCCATGGCCTCCACCTGGGCTCTCGGGTGCATTTTAACCAGCTCCTTCCTGCCCTGGCTGTGCCCCTCAGCCCTCTGCTCCCCTGGAGGGGTCAGAGGCTGTTTTGGATGTTTTCAACCTTATGCCTCGTTTTTCTTATGTTCAAAAACACCTCAAAGAGGACAAAGGTTTAAGAAATCCTGGAGCCCCTGACTCTGGTCTCAGATCTGCGCTTACCCTGCTGAGGCTGGGGCTTGCGGGGTCCCGGAGCAGGGAGGGGGAGCCCAGGGGAGGTGACCCCAGGCAGACCGCTTCTGGGGATGGTAGTGATGGAGGTGGCGCCTGGTCCCCACTGCCGGGGTGGCCGCATGCTGACACCCACCTTTCCTTCCAGGGCAGTTTCCCAGCAGCTTTGTGGAGACCCTGGACATCCCCAGCCTGAAACAGGGAGAGAAGCTGTTTGTCTGCACCAGTGAATTCACGTCCCAGGAGCCGGGGAGCCTGTCCCTGCAGAGAGGTACTCGCTGCCCCTGCTGGGTCTCTCCCCTCCCCACCTGGCCCTCCTGTGCTTGGGGAAAGCCCAATGCACCCCGATCGCTTGCCTCGGAGCTGGGGTGGGTGTTTGCTGAGGGGCCTGAGCCTGAGGGCAGGATCATGGCTCGGCTGTTGGGCCCTGCATGTTGCTGACTCCAGCAGCTCCGCCGTGAGTCCTGCCATGCTCCGCGCTGCTGGAGGACACCCTTCCTGTGAGAGCAGGAGGCAGGGGCATGGTCTGTACAGGCAGGGGCTGCATCCTCCCCCAGGAGGCTCCAAGAGGAAGCTGCATAAACCTGGGCTGGGGGTGCTTTCGGAGCAGCATCCTGCCAGGGTGCAGGGGCTGGGCCAGACAGCCCCGAGGTCCCTGTCAGCTCAGGTCTGCGAGCCATGTGCTGGTGGCTATCCATTCACTGGGGAGGTCACTGGGTCTGCTCCCTGTCCTGGGTGCTCCTGTGCCCTCCCCTCTCCATGGCACTAGCACTGTGGGTGCTCCCAGCATCGCTGCCTGCCTAGCTGGGAGCCCCCTTGCAGGCAGGACTCTGGGCTCTGCTGGTGCCCTCGCACCTGGGCCCCAGAGACCACGGCTGCGCCAGCACACCCTGAGACCGTGCTCCTTGCTTGTGTCCCTGCCTGGGGGCTGGCACCTCTGCTTGGCTGCGGACGGAGGGGACAAGGGGCTGCAAGTGGGGAGACAGACCTGGGCCAGCCTCTGACTCCTTGCTTCTTGCTTCCACAGGAGACCTGGTGATCCTGGGCGGCCCCCTGGCCTCCAGCTGGCTGCAGGGCCAGAGCACCTGGGGCTCCAGGGGCTTCTTCCCCTCCTCATGTGTGCGGGAGCTCTGCCTCTCTTCCCGGAGCCGCCGGCTGTCCCTGGGCACAGCCCCAGAGGTGCCCACGCACTCGCTGGGCCAGGCGCGGGCACTGATGAACCTGTCTGCCCAGCTGGAGGAGGAGCTCGACTTCCGGGAGGGCGATGTGATCAGCATCGTGGGGGTGCCTGAGCCAGGCTGGTTTGAGGGAGAGCTGGGCGGGCGCCGTGGCATCTTCCCTGAAGCCTTCGTGGAGGTGCTTGGCCCCCTGAGAGTGCCCAGGGACTCGGAGGAACTGGAGCCCATGGAGGAGGAGCTGGAGCCCACGGAGGCCAACGGTGTGGCAGGCACGCCACCCGGGGAGGTGGAGGATGAGTTGGAGGGCACCTACGGGGTGGCCCTGTACCAGTTCCAAGCACTGGAGCCGGCAGAGCTGGACTTCGAGGTGGGCGACCGGATCCGGGTGGTGGGCATGCTGGAGGACGGTTGGCTGGAAGGCGAGCTGCGGGGCCGCCGTGGCATCTTCCCCTACCGCTTTGTGCGGCTGGAGGGCTCCACGCCCCCCGGGAGCAGGGGGAGCCCCGGGGCCCCGCCAGCGGGGCCTGGCCGCGGAGTGACTGTCTATCCGGAGCCGGCAGCAGCTGGCGCCAGCCCTGGGCCCCTCCCGCAGCTGGGGGCAGAGCCGGGTGGCCTGGCACAGCCCCCCGAGGGGCAGCCGAGTGCACCAGAGCCCCGGGCAGCTGCGGGCACGGCTGAGGCCGAGCTGGGACCATGTGAGGCACCTGCACAGAGAGGCCCCAGCCCTGGCTCCGAGCCACAGTCCCCCTTGAACGATGCAAAGACTGTCAACGGTGTCCTGCCCCACTCCCCAGAGAGCCGCCTGTGTTGCTTTGAGCCCAATGAGACCCCCTGTTCCCAGCTCAAGGAGGATGGGGATGGCCCCCCAGTGCCCCCCAGAGCCCCCCGCTCCCCCCTGCAGGGCAGCAGGAGCCAGGACATCACTGCCCCGGGCAGCTGGGCAGGGGCAGAGCCCAGCGAGGGAGTGGGGGGCACCCTCCCCCTGGACCTGGAGCTGAGGCCGAGGGCCGCGGCTCTGCCACGCTGCTCCAGCATCAGCGGGGCCCACGGGGGCCTGGACACGTGGCCTGGGGCCCGGGCGGGCGCTGACCTGGACTCCAAGCTGACCGAGCAGCTGGCCCAGTTTGAGCGGAGTCTGTCAGGCGCTGGGGCCCGGCCAGTGTCTCGGCATTTCTCCATCCTGGACTATGGCTCAGAGAAGGACATCGTGCGGGGCTCCCCAGTGCGCGGCCGCCTGCCTGGGCCAAGGCGAGGTCTGCGCCCACCCCCGCCCCGCCCCAGCACCCCGGCAGCTGCTCCCCTGCCCCAGCATCCCAGCCCGGACCCTCACTCCTTTTCCGTGCGGCCTTTGCGCCCTGCCCCGCGGCCCCCGGCAGGCAGCCAGAGGAGGAGAACGGCCTCTCCGCAGCCCCAGCCCCAGAGCCTCCCTGAGGGCACCAGGGACTCAGCCAGCGAGTACCCTCTGCTGCTGACCCGGCTCCGGGAGCTGGAGCAAGAGCTGGAGGCCTGTAGGAGGATGCGGGCCGAGCTGCACGTGCTGTTGGCGGAGCCACAGGACGAGCTGGCGAGGACGGAGACCCTGGAGCAGCTGGAGCTGTGCGAGGCCAGCATGGAGAGCCTTGGCGCTGAGTTGCAGGAGCTCAGAGGTAAGGCTGCAGCGTCGGGGCATGCGTACACATGTATGTGTGCAATGCATGCACATACAAGGGGACACTGCAGGGCCGCAGGGTGGACAGAGCCCTTAGCTGGGCTGTGTAAGCATGTGCTGGCTGCTGTGTGCTGGGCTGGCTGGGTGTGTGTGCATGCGTGTGTGCTAGCCCCTCCTGGCCAGGCCAGGGCTAATCCCTGGCCCCTTCATCCTGATTTCTCCAGTTTGTTTGGACTCTTGGTCAGAGCCATTCCTGGCTTCATGCTTCCCATTGCTCTCCCAGCCACTTCCTGGAGCCCTTCTGTCTCCCCCACCCTCTATCTGGGCTCTTGAGTGTCTATTAGCCCCGGTTACAGCAGCAGGATGTTGGCAGAAACAGCTCCTTACTTTCCCCGGGGGCAGGGGCGGGGGTGATTCCTGGGTGTCAGGGTTGACAGTAGTTTTATGGAGAGTTTTGATGGTGGGCTTGTCTGGGCTGGTTTGGACAGGGCTGATCCTGCCTCAGGCAGGGGTTGGACTCAGTGTGACCTTGCAGGTCCCTGCCAGCCCCGTGTCTCTGGGAGGCTGGGATCCCCTGATGCCTCTTTGGCTCCACTGCCCATCTCACCCTTTGCCGGCATGGGGGCAGGTGTTGGATGGTTGGACTCAGACTCAGGCTAGAGGACCTTGCCCCTCCACTCAGGGTCTGGCTCATCGCCACAGGAAGGAATTTTCTCTCGTGTTCAGACAGGCACAGACTTGGGGGTGCAGCCCCTGCCTGGGGTTTCTCTGCTGCATTTAACAAGCTCCTTCCTGTCCTGGCAGTTGCAGCAGGGCTCTGGGCCCCTGCTCTACCTGGGGCAGGTCGGGGCTCTTGCTGGGTTTGGGAGCCTGCATGAGGCTTGTTTGCTCCATTTAATAGGTCAGACAAACCCCCATCTGTGATGGGGCCAAACTCCCTGGAGCATGGCACTAGCTCTGATCCTCAGAGGGCCCTGCCAGCTGGGCCACGCTATGAGTTGGAGGTCCCGGATACACATTACATAATTAACTGGTCAGTTGCCCAATGCATTTAGACCAGCCACATGTACAGAGTAATTATCGCCCCATAAAGGACTCGCCAGCTATAAAATGAGCCAAGCAGCTACAGAGCGAGAGCTTGGACACATGGAACAGCTCTGGACTGGTTTCTGGCCAGCTTGAATGTGAGCGTGTGGCAGGGCGCTCAGGAGCACATCAGGGCGAGGGCTCCACGACCTGCTGTTAAAGTAGCTAGGGGGAAAGGAAAGTTGTGCAGCGGGAGGGAGTGCGTACGCCTGCAGCAGGCCTGGGACCGAGCCAGGCAGGTCCTTCTCTAGGAGCAGGGAGGACAGAGCCGCCCCAGGTGCCCACCAGCTGGTGACCCCATTGGGCTCTGCTCTTCCCAGCCCCCTCCTCCGGCTGGGTCAGTCCGGAGCCACTGGTCTGTCCCTGCATCAGGGCTGCAGGGATGGCACTGGTATAGCCCCGCACGGTGGTCAGTGGAGTCCAGGCAGATGGCAGGGGCAGTCGCCAGCTATGTGGTGTTGGCCGGTGAGGGTCAGGGCACCTCACGGACCAGCCGGCACTGGAGGCCCAGGGTGCAGGAGGTGGCATCAGGCATGCAGCACGGGCTGGGAGGCATGCTGAGGGAGCAGGGCAGAGCCCTCTGAGCTGCGCAAGGCTTTGCCCTCTCGCACGGGGGTCTCATAGCATTGCAGGGGAGCTAGTGCAGGAGGGAGGGCTCAGCTGGGAGCCCTGGAGCAGGGCAGGGGCTGTGCCTGGACTGGGACAAAGAGAACGGCAGAGAGAAAGTCAAAGGGATTTATTACTGACTCTCTCCAGACACGAATGGGAGTCGCAGCATGAAACTAGGAGATGGTCAGTTTAAAACCAATACCAGGATGTTCTCTTCCACTCAGTGGGAGTTAAAGGGTGGAGTGCATCGCCCCAGATGTGCTGGGAGCTGAGAGTTGAGCCAGGGTCGCATGGGACTGGACACATGCTTGGAGGAAAGGGGCAGGGAGTGAGGGGCATGGCCTCTGCATCAGACTTGCCTGGACCTTCAATGCTGGAGGCTCAGAGGGGGAAGAGGAGCAGGGGAAAACCCTGGTCAGGCCCAGTCACTCTCCCTTCCAGCCGCCACTCTGCCCGTGCGACACAGGAGCCTGGGCACGAGGGGCTTGGCTCTGACCCAGCACAGCGCAGCTCTGATGTGCATATGAGCCTGCTGGGGAGAGCGCCCCGGGACAGCTCTGCGGGGAGAGAGGCGGCTCCCTTGTTCCCAGGGAGAGGTGGGGCTGGGGGTTGGGACAGCACGCCCTTGGCCTTGCAGGACCGGGTGCCCTTTCCCATGGCCCCGCTCCTGGTGTGTGCTGTCCGGGGTGTGCGCCGGGCTTGGGCGCAGCCTCCTCCGGCCCCCGCTTGGCTGTTTCCCTGCCTCGGGGCTGCCTGCCTAGCCTAGCCTGGCTCCATGGAGAGGTCTTGGCTGCACCTGCTGCATTGAAAGCCGCGCAGCCGGTTTGGGCAGTGCAGTCCCGCCTGTCCCAGGCGGTTACTAATTACCTCTGGCTGGGGTGGGAGAGGCTGGGACTAGCTGTGATTGGGTACGAAGGTTGGACTCTGCCAGCGAGTTTCAGGAAGGAGCGCCTGTGCTACTGGGGTGCGTTTGGAGCAGGGGCTGCAGGCCGCGCCAGGCTCTGAGACCCACCAGGCCCCAGGGCTGGTGCTGCCCGGAGGGCCATGTGCACCGTGCCGCGGGCGCAAAACCGGGGGCCGCGGCTCCTCAGCTGGGAGTACGAGGACTACACCGCCCTGCAGGGACGGGACGCTACGGCTGTGGGCAGGTTGTACAGGGACTGCGGCTGGAGCGACGTGTCCAGAGCAGACTGGCGGCCTGAGGATGGCGGGCCCCTGGGCAGAGACTGCGGGCATTACGGCAAAGGGGACAGCCATCACCCAGACCATGAGGATTATCGGAGGGCAGAGCTGTGGTGTACGGACCGCAGGAGGGCGGATACGGACTACGAGGATGCCGAGAGAGGGACTCGCTATAGGGAGCAGAAGAGAGTGAATGGGGGCTGCGGGGAGCCCTGGAAGGTGACAAGGCCGTACAGCAGGGATAGGGACCGCGGGGATTACAGCAGCAGAGAAACCCGGTACAGGGACAGCAAGGGAGAAGAGGGGGACTATGCGGGTTATTGGAAGGACGATACAGGATACCGGGACCACAGGAAGGCAGAGAGGGACTGTGAGGATTATCGGGAGAGAGAGACTGGCTGTATGGAGCAGAGGAAGGTCAACGGGGAGTGTGGGAGGGAGGATACCCGGTACAGGGACCGCAGGAGAGTCGATAGGGGTTGCGAGGATTATAGAAGGGAAGGTGCTCGCTGTAGGGACCGCGGGAGGGTAGGTGGGGGCTATGAGGATTGTTGTGGGGAAGACACTCGAGATATGGAGTGGAGGAGAGGGGAGCAGGGCTGTGAAGAGCATTGGAAGGGAGATCCTGGCTACAGGGACCGTGGGTCCCTGCAGAGGTGTGAAGGTCACAGGGAGAGAGGCCCTCGCTGCAGGGCCTGGAGGAGACTGGCTGGGGAGCCTGGCGATTGCAGGTGGGACGGCGGTCGGGGCATGGACTGCAGGAGAGCAGACGGGGGCACGCAGGGAGCGGAAAGGCGTAGTGCAGAGGATGAAGCCTGGCACGGGGCTAGCGAGGGAGATAGTCGGTACAGGGACTGCGGGAGAGCAGACAGGGGCTGTGGGGGGAACGCAGCCTACAGAGATGACAGGAGTGGGGAGAGCTGGCATGTGGACTTCAGGGCCTCAGAGGAGGGTGGCGAGTGCGGCAGGGAGCCCCGCAGCCGTGCTGCAAATCCCAGGAGTCTGGCAGGAGTTGGCGAAGCCCCTGATGTGTCCCACACCTGGTTTTTGGGGAGCGACGACATGGGCCCGGACCCCGGCCCCAGCCCGAGCCCCTGCCACGAGGCGGCCAGGACCTGCGACACAGAGTACAGTGGCTTTGGGGAACCGCAGAGAGTGATCCCAGAGCGCCTGGGGGCTGGGCGGGCACGGACAGGATGCTCAGACTGGAGCCATGTCTGGGAGGACGAGGATGCAGCCGGGAGCACGCGGGGTGCGGACACCTGGCAGCGGAACAGCTGCTACCGGCGGACGGCACCAAGCGCCTTGCGGCACACCGGCTACGGACCGGCGAGGGAGGAGCCACCAGGTACGCGCAGGGTCATGGGAACAGGTGTAGGGCCACATGCAAGGGAGACGGGGCTGCAAGGAGCCCTGCCCGGAGCAGGGGAGATGCTTTGTGCCGCGGGGGCGGTGGGCAGCAGCCTTGGAGCAGCCCGGTGCTGCAGAGTCTTACTCTGTACAGGGTACAGGGATGGCAGGTTCAGACCAGGTGCCCGGGACCCCAGCCCTGGGCACAGCCCAGGCACCACTGATCCGTTTCCTGGTGGGTCAGAGCCTAGACCCTGTGCCGTCTTTCCCAGCACATGCTGCGGTTATCAGACTTGGTAACATGGCTGGGGTACTGTGCTGCCTCCGCGTGGGGTGCCAGCTGCTGTGGCCACTGGCACAGGGGTGCTGTTTCCTTTGCTACTGGCACATGGCCTGCTCCTTGGGGGCCACAGCTGCTGGTTAGGCCAGAATGGAGCAACACGGTACCCCAGCTTGCGGCAGGGGGAAGGGGAGGACACTGCGTCTGTTGGGAAACTCGGGGAGGTCAGATGCCGTTTGTGTAACCTCGCTTGGCGCGGACGCTGGGACTGTCCCTGGGGGCAGCTGGGAGAGAGCAGGGCCACGGCCATCTCCTGGAGATGGCAGCTCCAGCACCCTCCTCCTCCTCG